TTTTTTTTTTTTTTTTTTGAACTGGGGATCGAATTCAAGACCTTGCACTTGGTGAGGCAAGTGGTGGAACCACTGAGCTAAAACCCAGGCCCTGGAAGGAACCTCTTTTTTCTTTTAATAAAGTCCCACTTTCTTCCTATTTTCTGCTTTTAGATGGGTCTTCTTTCAAATTTTACCTCTTCTTTTTCTTATTGGTTCTTGTCTAACTTTGGTAAATACCTTAAGAAATAAATAACTCATACCATTGTATAACAAGGAGCACCAGCTCCCCAGCTCAGACCTTGGAGACTCTATTTCCTTATTTCTTCCAGTATTTCAGCAATTCCCACTTTAGGCTTGTTGCTCCAAACATCTCAATTCCTGGTACCACATTCTGACGTAGCATTCTTAGTTTCAGTCAACAGAAACTGACATTGGATTTTGTTTTTTCCTAATGTGCAAAAGGAACCTATTGAAAAGATATCAACTGGTTCAAATAACCTGCTGGGAGATTTGGCATAACTATGCTTTGCAAGTGAGTGGGGTAAAGACTGTGGGTCTTTGTGGACTGTGGGTTGGACAATGGCCAAAAATTGCAACACCAGCCCGGGGATGGCGGTTGTGGGTCCCACAGGTCGATGGTGCTGTCTGCCCCATTAGACATGTACTTCTCCGCTGCCTCGCTGCCTCAGCTGGACTTGGAGACTCTGTGTCACTGTTGCTGTTGCACTGTCTGCCGCCACCCCATCCTACCTCCCAGGAAGGCCAAGAAGTGGATATGTGGTATTTTTTGTTCTTGTATTGGTTAGTGCACTCTGCCTTTTATGAATTAAGGAATTCCGCAAATAGAAAGAAGTAATATTTAGATGCTGGACAGGTAAAAACTAAAAATAAGAATAATATTCACTGCAACAACCTTGTATAACCTTAGGCACTCTAGATATATATATATACAGAGAGAGAGAAATATATATTTTACTAAATATAATATACATTATATATATTTGTCTAATATATATATATGTATATATATTTGTCTGTGTATGGTACTGGGGACTGCACCTAAAACCTTGGCACGGAAGCACATCCCCAGCCTTTTAAAATTTCAAAACAGAGACTTGCTAAGTTTCCCAGAGGGGACTCTACCTCTTGATCCTCCTGCCTCAACCTTCCAGAGGGCTGAGATCAAAGGCATAAGCCAGCAAGCCTGGCAACTGTCTATTCTTAAATCTGGAGTTGCAGGGATTTAGAATTGGGATTATAATTACTCATCCTTTTCTTCCATCTCAGATTGTTCTAGAGGCTCAGCTTCCAACACTTGGGGTTTTCCTGTGGCTGACTTCTACCTGGTGGAAAGGCAGAAAGAAAGGAAAAGGAGAAGCTGTCTTCCTCCATTTCCTGGCTCCCCAGGCTCCAGGCCTGACTGGAGAGGGAGGCTATGTTTTAGAGGGAGTCCTTTGGACTGCTTATGCCGTAATACTTGACAGTACTCCCCACTAGCCCAGGCCCAGGTTATTCAGGGTAAGACGAGAGCCACTCACAGCAATGCCCTTGCCATTTGTGTCCTCACACATGGCACAGTGGGGAGCCAGAGCCAGCCTTCTCCTCCAGCTGAAAGAACAAAGCTGAGAGCCAGAGTCGGATTTCCCCATGAGTCTTCTGCAATGTTTTCTTTTGACAAAGCATACTGAAATTCTGGAGAAGTCAGGAGGAACAGGCCTACTCTCAGTTTGAAGAGACTGATGCCCTCAGAAACACAGCTGGATGGAGTCCCCAGCTTCCTTAGGGGTCACACAAGGGAGATGTGATGGTTTCAGAGCATGTGCGATCGGTGGGGAGGCCTCTTGGAGCTCGGTCTCCTCCAAAAGTTGACGTTTCTACTCTTTAGAAATGAATAAAATGTAGCCCCTACATTGCACTTTTGTGTTTCCTGGAGGATTCATAGCGCGGCAGCGTGGCTGGGCATGTTTCATGGCCTCAGTCTCCACAGCTTTAGCTACGGGCACTGGAGATGACCATGGATTGGATGAGTTGTAAGGTTGTCCTTCTCCCACGGAGGGGTTGGGGGGCTCTTGGCAAGGACCAGCTCAGTGTCCCCTTCACCAAAACTCAGGAACCACCCTTTTCACAGAGCAGAGCACTGTGTTTGGTTGATTTTTGTCATTGCCAGAGTAATCCCCTGCTCTGAACTTCCCCAAATTCCCCAAGTGGAGAAATCTAGAGTTCGGTTTCTCAACTGTGAAGCTACTGACATTTGAGGCTGAATAGTTTTTTGCCATAATGTTTTCTGCATTGGGGGATGGTAAGCAGCATCCTTGACCTCTATCCACTGGACGTCACATCCCCTGTCCTTGATCATGAAAATCGAAGTCTCTCCATGGGCTCAGGGCAGGGTGCTTGCCTGGAATGTGTGGGGTCCTGGGTTCGAGTTCCAGCACTGAAAGCAAAGATGTCTCCAAGTATTGCCAAACGTTCCCTGGTGGGCAAAATATTCCCCAGTTGTGAACTACTGATCCAGAAGTATGCCCGCGCCCTTGTCAGCTTTGAGTGGAAAAGTATAATTCTATATACCAAAAAATAAATCTATCGAAATCATGTTTTGAAAGTGACAATGTAGCCCCTTCAACATGGCCTAAACCTGCCAAGATTCTCAAGATTTTCTAAATATTGGAATTACCTGAGCAGCTTTAAAAAATAAATAAATAAGATGCCCAAAATGAGTTCTACAGAACAGCCACAAGAGGGTGGTGTGGCGATGCAGTCCACTCTAGCCCTGCGTCCTCACCACTGGTCTCCAGTGAAAGATGTGGACTCACTCTGCACCTGCTGAAACCTAAACTAGATTCTTATTGGCTCACAACACTTACAGGCTGGAGAGAGTCGCTCCTCCGCTCAGATAAGGAGGCCCAATGTGGACTGATGACAAGCTATGGTCACCAGTCACTGTTCCTCAGAAGGCTCCTCGCTCTACTCAGAGCTTTACTCCTTCACGAGATAGTTATCAAATTCCTGCTAAGTGCTCAAGCTTGTCACCCAGTGAGAGCCACAAAGAACACAGATAGTTAAAATACAGTCATATGTTGCTTAACAATGAGGATAAGTTCTGAGAAATTCCTCCTTAGGCAATTTCACAGAGTGCAACCATCGTAGCAGGTACTTACCCACACCTAATGGTATGACCTACTGCACACTTAGGGTGTAAGTAGACAGATGATAAATAGACAGATAAGACAGATGATGTGGCCAGCCAATTGCTCCTAGGGCCATGCTGAATGAAACAACAGGAGATTGAATCAAGCACAAGAGAAAATTATACAATCGAGGAACACAGTAAACAAAAGCTAGATAAGGCTGCTGCTGGCAAAACACAGACTGATTTACAATAAACTGTTTTTTAGTAAGAAGAAGGCATATACACTCTAAAACAGTAATAATTCCAAGCATTGTGGTAATCACGACAATCTTGGGCTTTAAGGCAGGAAGATCACAAGTTCAAGGCCAGTCTGGAAAACTTAGTGACCTGGTGAGACCATGTCTTGAAATTTTTAAAATAAAATAAGGGGCTGGGGATGTAGCTCAATGCAAAGATTCTGGGCTCAATCCGTAGTTACCAAACACACATCAAAAATTAATAATAATAACAAAGTA